CAGATGGTCTCTCACTCTGTTGCCCAGGCTGGAGTGCAGTGGAACAATCTCGCCTCACTGCAACCTCCACCTCCTGGGTTCAAGTGATTCTCCTGCATCAGCCTCCCAAGTAGCTGGGACTACAGGCATATACCACCATGCCTGGCTAATTGTTTGTATTTTTAGTAGAGATGGGGTTTCATTGTGTTAGCCAGGATGGTCTTGATCTCCTGACCTCATAATCTGCTCAACTAGGCCTTCCAAAGTGCTGGGATTACAGGCATGATCCACCGTGCCCGGCCTTTTACGAAGACGATTCTAAACAAGGAAGGGGGGTATAGCCTCCACCTCTCCTTCCCTATTCAATCAAACATCAGCCGCTGACTCTGCTGTGTGCCCAGCCCTTAGTGAGATAGATGTGAGCTTGAAGCCTCGGACAAGCTCCTTAACCCTGCGAAGCCTATTTCTCATCTGCACAATGGAGGTAATAAAACCTACCACCAAGGGGAATTCAGTGATGAATGCTTATAGAATGCTTCATGCTGGCACGTGGCCATCAGAAAATAAATAAGGGCCATTATCTGGAGTATTAATGTGCATAATTAAAAGGCTAAATCTATCCCTGCAGAGAAATGGCAAAGGTTTTAAGAGGTAGAGGAGGTAGAGGTCACTGTGGCTGAGGCAGTCGGGAAAAAGATGGGTCACTGTGGCCAGAGGGAACAGTTAAAGAAAGGAAGACTGGCAACACTGTCAAGGTCTACTGGAACTTGAATGCGGGGTGTGGTGTCATGCTCACCTTCAACCAGGGGAACATGTCTACCAGGCTCTCCTTGGCCAGGGCTTCTACAATGCCATGGTTGTAAGTCTCTACGATCTTCAACTCAGGGGCTCCACTCTTGTAGGAGGAATTGAAGCAGATCAAGGAGATTACATTGGTTACCGCCATGAAGACAGGAAAGGACATGTCTATGCTCTGTCCATCGTGGGTGGCCAGCATATCACACAATATACTGATTTCCTGACAAACTGAAAGGAGAGGGGGGCATGAGGGTGGGAAATGAATCAGCACCCTCACCTCCTTTCTACCAGTTCCCTCTTAACAGGAGCAGGGGACAGACAGCCGATGGCCACTAGATGGAAGCAGTAGCCAAGAAAAGGCTGCGTTGAGCTCTGGTGGTAACCCTCACCCCTCCTCAACCCTCTTTTCCCTCCTCAACCCTCCTCTCCCTCCAGCAGCTCCGGTGGAATCCAGCCCCAGCCCCAGGGACCAGCCTGGCACTCACTGATCTTCTCCAGCTTCTGATCGCCTTCCTTGAACAGGGAAAAGGTGGCCATCGCAAGCCTTCGATGCAGCTGCCATTGTGCACTGTAGTCAGCGAAGGCAATGCCCTTGCCCTTGTTGGACAGGATGTCTATGGTTGCCTTTGGAGAGGAGGTAAGGCTGCAGGAATCACGCACCATCCACCCCACCCTGGCCCTTGCACCTCCTGTCCCTGCTCTCCTTCCTGGGGGAGAAGGCAGGTACCTGGCATGCTGTCCCCCACATGAGCACAGCCCCGTGGCACTTCACCATGACTGTGAGGTCTTGGCAGGACAGACCCTAAGGCCTCCTACTCCCAATTCCATCAGAAAGACAGTATATAGAGGAGAAAGAAAGAACCCTGGATTCGAATGCAGCAATCCTGGGGCTCTGTTTGCTGATAAGGTGCCCTCTGGGCTTCTTCTTTTTATTTTTTTAGATGGAGTCCTGCTCTGTTGCCCAGCTGGAATGCGGTGGCACAATCTTGGCTCACTGCAACCTCTGCCTCCTGGGTTCAAGTAATTCTCCTGCCTCAGCCTCCTGAGTAGCTGGAATTACAGGGGTGCGCCACCATGCCCAGCTAATTTTTGTATTTTTAGTAGACAGGGGGTTTCACTATGTTGGCCAGGCCGGTCTTGAACTCCTGACCTCATGGTCCACCCACCTCAGCCTCCCAAAGTGCTAGGTTTACAGGCATGAGCTACTGTGCCTTGCTTCTGGGCTTCTTTTTGCTCATCAGTTTCTGACCAGAGGAACGCAACTATGGATGAGATACTCTCTAAACTATGCCTGTCCAGAGGGTAGGGAGCAGGTGGGCTTATAGAGGCTGAGGACTGCGCAGATCTCCGCTTTTCCTTGAGCCCTTTAGGGAGTGCTAAAGGTGCAGCTCACCTCACTTGGGTTTACCCTTCCATTGCAAGCTTGCATTCCCAACCACAAGCCCACATCTGCAGAGTGCAGATGTTTTTTTTTACCCAGTCTGGACTTGGGCCAAGCTGTCTCCTCCTAGAGGCACCCCCAAAAGCATAAGAGTCCAAAGCCTCCCTTTTCCATCTCCTGACTCTGAAGCTCCACCTGACTAGCCTCTTCCACCTTCTCTGCCCTGGGGAGGAAACCAGCAGAGGTGGGAGCCAGGTAGTTGGCCAGCAGACCTGGCCGATTGGTCCAAGGAAAAACAAACCAACCCTTGGCTTGATCAAAGCTGAGAGACTGAGGACCCTGCTGGGGTGTTCAGGGGAGTTCTCAGCAGCAGTGTTTCTGGATGATCAGTAGCCCTCCTGGCCTGGGAGCACAAGAGCAAGCTCAGCAGGAGGCTCATCAGCATCCCCAAAATATCATTGTAGATCACAGCTCCTGTGAGCCAGAGCAGCTGGAAACGGCACCAGGAAAACAGCAATCCCAGTTTGCAACAGCCAGGCTACTTGTCCCCAGCAGCTTCCCATGGAGGATGGTAATCACTGCCCCCGTTTTCCAAGAAGAGGAACACGAATCCTGGCTGTATGAGGAGCACTTACTGTGCTGGGTGCTAGGCTGAGTGCTGTACATGCACCTTCTCAGTCCACTAGAGGAGTCTAGGCCCAGAGGGATGAGCGGAGTGAGGATTCCTTGACTTCCGAGACTATTGCGATCCTTCCACCCTGCCTCCTGGGCAGCCTGGGAAAGGAGGCCTTCCCTTAATTCTTCCTGCCTCACTTAGAGCCGGGGTGGGGGTCTGAAGGTTCACTCCCCTCACGTTGCCTCACTAGTCTGTTTTGGGAAGAATTACAGTTGGAGCTGGAAGCCCCATTCTAGGCATGGTGTGAAGACCTGAACAACCCTGGGGGTGGAGAAGGGGACAGGGAGGAGATGGGCATCACTTACCACTTGAGGCCGACCAGCAAAGTCCTTGCCCTTCTTCATAAGTACCTCCTTGGCCAGCTGATGGTTGCCGACAATCACCGTAAGGTTGCTGCCCATACGAAGGGAAAAGATAGGTCCATATTTTTTCTGCAACTTGAATAAGTTCTGATGCATATGGCCATGTCTGGGGAGGAATGGCAGGCTGCCCACCACGGGCAGGGACAGGAGGCTCTTGGGGTACTTGGCACCAGGGGACCTTCTCTTGGGCCAAAAGAAATAGGTGAGGGTGAACAGCAAGAGAGTCACAAGCTCCCACATGGTGGCTGGGTGCTGGCAGGCAAGAGGGATAGCGGTGGAGTGGGAGAGCTCCGGCAACTCTAGGACACAAAGAGGCTTTTAAAGGGCTACACTGATCTTCACCTTGACTTTGTGTTATCTCTTGCCTTGTGAAAGATTCTCCTGGAGCCCAGCCAGGCCTGAGCTCACTTCCAGAAGGGAGATTGGTGGTGGGAGTGAAGGCCTCCTCAAGGGCTGGCTCAACTCCAGGGCAAACCTCCGGAGGAGGAGCTAGGTAAGGGAGGTCAGTTGATCCCCTTCTGAGGAGCTCTCCGTGCTTGAATGACCCCAGAGTGCAAATGTCATCTGGGCTCAGGAATCAAGGCTTGGAAGTTTCCATGTTGCAAAATCAAAATCACTGGACAGAAGACAGTCGGGAGGGTTACAAGTAGCAGGGACTGTCAAAGGTCTTTTATCTTATCATTTAAGAGCTGAAGAAAGTGAGGTCTTCAAAAGTCAGGCATGGGGCTGGGCACAGTGGCTCATGCCTCTGATCCTAGCACTTTGAGAGGCCGAGGCAGGTGGATCACTTGAGCTCAGGAGTTCAAGACCAGCCTGACCAACGTGGTGAAACCTTGTCTCTACTGAAAACACAAAAAATTAGCCAGGCATGGTGATGCATGCCTTTAATCCCAGCTACTTGGGAAACTGAGGCAGGAGAATCGCTTGAACCTGGGAGGCGGAGGTTGCAGTGAGCCAGGATTGCACCACTGCACTCCAGCCTGGGCGACAGAGCCAGACCCCGTTTCAACAAAAAAAGTCAAGCGGTGACTTCTGAGGACCCAGGTCAAGCCTGCTGCTGCTGCCCTCACCTGAGGGGAGCAAGAAGAGGCTGCGCCCGCGGAGAAACACAGAGTCTCGGAGTCGCCATGGGAGTGGAGCATCTTCTTCCTGGCAGCAGCCGCCACCAGACGCCAGTCCACCTGTTTCTCTATCCCACGCAGCCTGCTTCTGCAACGTGATTTGATAGAAGGGACTATATCTTCCTTGAATTTTGTGTTGAAGACAGTAAAGATGTTAATGTCAGTTTTGAGAAATCCAAACTTGCATTCAGTTGTCTTGGAGGAAATGATAATTTTTTTTAAGTAGAATCTTTTTTATTCAGAAAAAAGAAAAACCCCCACACCAAAGAAGTTTCCCAGCCACACACAGAAGGGGCATGGGTAGGGTGAGGTGACTGTCCATCCAGCCCTGGCCCTCCAGCCCGTGTGGTTTTAGCAGCAATAAGGGGTGTGGGGTAATGGCCCCCAAAATATAAATGGTGTATATGTGTATGGGAAGGAAGGGGGTGCTAAGCTGTGGGGAGCAGTGGGGAAGGGACAGACGAGGTCAGTATTGGGAATGCTGGAGGTAGGAGGCAGTTTCATAACATTTCTTGTTGATCAAACCGCTTTAGACACCTTCTTTGCCAGTCAGCAGGACCAGCGTCCTGACAATCATAGTGACAGGGATATTGAATTTGGGGGCTCCACTGGTGCTCTTGGTATGAAGATCCATGCTCAGTTCCCCATCCTGCAGCACTGGGTCCAGGATCACAGAACATTTCTGGCCCCCAAGTGTCAGCCCATTCACGAAAAACTTGACCAGTCTTTGCCAGTCAGGACACCAACCTCAGCTGGCCTGATGTTGGTGAAGGTTTTCCTGGGGGACAGCAGTCCAGATGGAGAGCGAGTCTTCGTAGCCCATGGCAGCCGTGTCCTGACAGGTCCCTTCTGCCACCAGGTTGTCGATGTGGGCGTTCCACCCTGCCGTGGGCTGCTGGCAGCGCTGTTGGTGCCTTGGCAGGCAGGCAGGGGAGGCAGAGAGCTCAGGGCACACGCTGTGGCCTGGACTGCTCCTCCACTAGCTGCGCAGAAGCCCTAGTACCGCCACTTCCTGGAAGTGTTCATTTGAAGCATTTTGATCTTTTTCACTGTATTGAGCCAATGATATCAAGCGTAAACGAACGGACTGATGGATTTTAGTTGTTTACGAAAAGGAAAATCTGGCCAGTCATGGCCAACATTAACAAAAGAAAGGGTAAATCTTAACTGGCTTAGTGTGGACTTCAGTCATTGGAAAGATTGTGAAGATTATTCAGACGAAGCCATGTCTGATTTTGATCGTTTCTCTGAGAACAACATGGGTGGTGAAGAGGATGTAGATTTACCAGATGGAGCAGATGATCATTCACAGGATAGTGAAAATGAAAAAATGCCAGATCTGGAGTAAGGAATATTGTCATTACCTGGATTTTGAGAGAGAAAAATAACTTCTCTGCAAGATTTTATAATTGAGAGAATTCCTGAGTTGATAGCTCTAAAGGCAGATGGTGTCTTTGCCTACTTAAACTTATTTTTCAACCTGTTTCGTTTTCAAAAGGCCTCACTAAGGGTTGATATGTACCATTGTATGGGGCAATTTTGAGTCAGCTAAGGCAATAACCTTATGCATGAACATTTCCCAACTTCCATGAAACTGTTGAGGTCCTAGACAATTGATGCAGCAGTTGTGATAAATACAAACATCTCACCTAAGTCTCCTTTCCTTCATAACATAGATACTGACATGATAGGAAGCTCTCAGCTTGGGGAAAGAGAACTAAACGTTAGATTATAGAACATGAATTCAAAAGTGGCTGAAACAAATCGACTGACACCTTACTGGTAACCTGCTATTCCTCTTGTGTTATTCCTCAAGATTGTTCTACTAAAGCTTATTTTTCAAAAGATTTACATCTCGGACCGGGCACAGTGGCTCACGTCTGTAATCCCAGCACTTTGGGAAGCCAATGCAGGCAGATCATATAAGGCCAGGAGTTCGAGACCAGCCTGGCCACCCTGGCAAAATCCCATCTCTACTAAAAATACATAAATTAGCCGGGCACAGTGGTGTGTGTCTGTAATCCCAGCTACTCAAGAGGCTGAGGCAGGAGAATTGTTTGAACCTGGGAGGTGGAGATTCCAGTGAGCCAAGATCAAACTACTGCACTCCAGCCTGGGTGACAGAGTAAGACTCTGTCTCAAAAAAAA